CGGTACGGTACAGGGGTATTTTCTGTACGGGCCTTAAAGTCTAATATGGGCTCAGGCTAGGGTTAGTATAAATAGTATGTTGTAACCCTATTTTTCAGAGCTGAATAAAGAAATCTCCGCTTCGCTCTCGTGGACGTAGGCACACCGCTGAACCACGTAAAATTCTTGTGTTGATTTTCGTTTTCATCTCTTTAATATTGCGCATAAAATCTAACAATAGTCATGGTAGCTTCCTCACTTTTTGGCGTTGGAAAGAAGTCACAGTGTGAAATAAAGGAGATAGTACTGGGAAATTTTCTGTTGCAATTGATTTGTATCAAAATTGTCCTATACTTGTAGATGTGATTACTATACACATCCAAGATGCACTTTTCTATGTTATTTTCTGATAATATAGTTTCAATTCGTGTACTGATGATATAGTTTTAATTCATGTCCTGATAATAAAGTTCTAGTTCCTTTAGAAGTTCAGTTGTGCTTGGAACAACAATGTTGGGGAATCAAATTATAGCAGTATGTTGACTGAAGGGTGATTGTTTATGTGCTGTAGTTCGAGTATTTCTAAGAAAGGGAGATATGGAGGGAATGTAATGTGTAAAGATATATTGCGTGTTAGATGAAACAGATAAATGCTTTAAATATCCCGAAGATTCGATTTTTCTTGGACCTCATAGAAGAGATAGTTTTGGATTTAGCACCAGTGATAAGTTTCTCTCCATTATCCATTGGTTATGAAACACATGAATTTGCAAATGCAAACTGAAAGATGGGGAACTTTACCATGTATGTTTTTTGGTAACGATTCAGCTTGTCAGAAGCACCTCTTGAAACATTTTGTCAGGGGTTCAGAAATGATCATACCATATGGGCTTGGTTGGGGGACTGTTTTTTGTTCATTTGGATATTCTTGAGCATCATTTCATAAAGGAGTAATTATTTGTCTGTGTTGTCACTGGTACTGGGGGCACTCCAACAAACTGCTTCCAGTTTTTCTTATTATATTCCTTCTGTATCATGGTCAACTGACATCAGTCAGTTTTGTAGAACTTCCTTTGTATCACAATGTAACACTCACCCATTTAATGTCTGGCTACACATCTATAGGATACAAATTGACACAATTAATTTTAATTTTCAGGTGGAAAGTATAGTTCTAAGCATCATATCGATGCTTTCAAGTCCTAATGATGAATCTCCTGCAAATGTTGAAGCTGCTGTAAGTGTCAATACATCTGATGATTGCTCTTATGATTATTTTCATCGCTGAATTTAATTGTATTTATGCCATCTTTGTGCTTATCTCTCTCTCTCTCTCTATTTATTTTTTCCTAAGACAATTTTTCTTCCCCCCCACCCTTTCCTTTTTCCTATTAGTACGATAATTTTGTAAATTAATGTTCCTTTCATTAAATATCAATCTAAGAGGAGCCTAAAATTGATTTTATTGGAAGAGTCACAATAAGAAAGTTAACTTGTAAGATGTTCACAGATGTTGCTTTCTTCTTGGAAGCAGCTGGTAGGAGGAGCAGTGGGGCAAGCCAAGCCTAGCAGGGTTGGCCTGCGAGCTTTTCTAATCTTTTCTTGAGACTAAATTTAATAAAAAAACATAGAAAAAATTGACTACAGTTTAAAATTAAGGAAATTTAATGTAATTAAATAAGAAAATACTACGAACCTGCCCATGGCTCGAGCTCTCAGGATCCGGCCCATGAGCTGGTCCACTGAGCAGTTGGGTCACCCTGTCCCATTGCCACCATTAGTAGCTGGTCATCTCAGACTCTCAACTCTCTTTGAAATGAAATTCTTTGTTAAGAAATAATATATTCTGGTTTGATCATGAAATTGTTCACTCATTTCAACTATCCATTTCTTTTTCTTGATATATGCTGTGGATATAACTTGAACACGATTACTCATAAAACCTACTTCATTTCATGACCATTGGTGTTCCTATTTGTGAATTTTGGAGATTCAGGTCCTTGTGCTTGTTAATTTGTATTGCTTGGTTTGATAATCCAATATAGGTCTCCGTGATGCTTTGTTGTCAATAGCTTCTCTATCTTGGAGCTTTTTTCTTTTTTGGCTTTTGACGAGTTGCTCTCCTCTTTCGTGATGAAATATGGAAGTCGTAGCATTTTTGACAGTTAGACACGCACTTTTCTTCAACCATTGTGATAATCTATGAAAATGAAGTTTTATCTGGTTAAGTAACTATGAAAATGAGGTTTTATCTGGTTAAGTAACTAAAACGGAAGTATTCTGTGATGGTATGGATGTGCATTCTCGAGTTCATTTCTCCTTTCATACTCACTTCCTAAGTGGATCTTTGATTTCCCATTTTGCTTTGTCGATTGATTACTGCAGAAGGAATGGAGAGAACAGAGGGACAATTTCAAGAAAAAAGTTAGTCAATGTGTAAGACGGTCACAAGAAATGATGTAAACTTTTGCCCCTATGCTGCTCAGGCATTTTCTTAGAACATATAAACTGAAGAACTGGTTTTCTTTTTTGGGTACCAAATGGTACAAACATTGTAATTCTCTAATGATAATATCTTATGTTTTCTCAATGCCTCGTTTGTTTATTGCACATCTTTTGGCACATAATGACATTAGCTTGACTGGGCATATGTTTTGACTAACTTGCTCTTCTGCTGCTTGACATTTACCTGTTAAATTTGCCTTTTGTCAATTGTCAATACTAAAAGCCCTTCATGGGGTGGTCGAGTTGATGGAGTAGGCGAGTGCGGATGTCTTTGATCACGAGTTCGATTTTTCCAACCAATACTTTATCGGTCGAACTTGTCGCACCGAGTTCCCTTAGTGCGGTTTACCTGATTGGCGTGGTTTGCAAGCTATTGCATTAATTCGAGGGTTTACCTAGTGTGCACTTGAAGGGCAGCGGTTATAGGTTCTTTCGTCATTAAAAAAATAATAATAAAAAATTTGTTTATACTAAAGCAAAATCAAATAAATTGAAGCCATTCAAGAAGCCTCTCAAATGAAGAGTAAAATTTTACACAGTTTAAAAATATATATCAACCCAAAAGGTTCCTCAGAGCTTGTCCATGAAGATTGAAGTGTGCAAAAACTAAAAATATTGCATTTTACAAATAACTACTAGGAAAGATGAAAATTTCTTTTACTTGGACAATCTATACAACATGAAGATTGAAGTGTGCATAAACTAAAAGTATTGCATTTTACAATAACTACTAGCCGTGGCGGATTCAGGATTTTGAGTCAGCATGGGTGACCGTTGATCATCAATAGTTAGCTTAATAAAATATTATGAGCTCGTTTGATTTTTTTTTTCCTTTTTGGCAAAAAATGCATTTTGGAACATAGTGATTTGATAGAAAATACGTGGTTAAAAATAAGGAAATTTTTTGAATTTCATGTAATATTATTTTATTAAATAATATATGATTGAAAATAAATGAGAGAAAAATATATTATGAAATAAGTGGGAATCAAATAAGACCTAAAATTTAAACATAACAATTATTTTGTTGAATTTGAACGTATATAATTTTGTTAAAAGAATAAATCATATTCATCAAATGACATTATTGCCAAGTTTTATATAATTCAAAAGAAAAGCATAAGTTCAAATCTTTATTGTTGCCAGCTAAGATCTAATATATGTAAATTTGTTAAACATATTATCACAATTCAACAATCAGCATAATGGTCAAACCATTAATAATTCTAACAATAGCTCCAGGTTCGAATCCCCTCTTTCTCATTCCATTATTTTTTGGTAAAAATTGTAAAGCTAAAAAAAAGTGAACAATAAAAGTTGACTGATAAAGGATCGAACTTGGGACCTGCAAGATGCAAAAACCTGCTCTAACCAACTTAGCCAGAGGCAACATATGAATAAAAAATATAACCTAAAAAATTCATCTATTCTCAACAAAAAAAAATGGCTATCAGCAGATCCAGTACACTCGGCCGCGGGTGCTCCCCAGGTGCTGGATCTGCCAGTTACTACTAGGAAAGATGAAAATTTCTTTTACCTGGACAATCTATCTATTGTATAGAGCTTGTTTGAGCTTTATTTGTATTTTGAAATGGTATTTTGATAGACAATGCGTGGTTAAGAAATAAGAAAAATTTTCAATTTATTTATAATATTATTTTATTGAAAAAGGTGCAATTAAAAAGACGAAAGAAAAATGTTTTTGAAAATGTTGGGGACCAAACAAGGCGTAGTAAACCTTGAACAGAAATTTATTATTCAAATAAACATATTAGGACTAGAGTGTTTGCAAGAAGTGAAAATTACACCGATTTTGAAATGATCCGTCTATATTCCAGCGCGCCGATTTTTGGGCATGCTAGGTTAGAATATACAGGTGCGTATGCAACACCCTTTTTTCTTCTTTTTTTTCTTTTTTTTTTCCACATCCTATGTTTGGCAAATAGTTTATAAATTCAATTAAAATCAAACATTTGATTTTAAACCACATATGCATAATGTTAGTCATTTATTGTAAAATTCCGAAATTTTGTACCGTATGATACTCGGCATTTATGAAAACTTAAAAAAGTTTTTGATTTATTAGAATATTTTCCAAAGACTATTTCTATAAATAGCATTTTATGCATAATAGAGGATATTTAAATTTAGAGAAAAAAGTTTTATACGTTCCAACAATGCTCTCTGTTTTGATTCTTTATTTTGCTTTTCTCGAGAAATGTTTATTGATTTCTCTTTATATTTTATTTAACATAATTTTTTTAATACATCAATGGTCAATTAATTCAAATGTGATTTAAATAATTTAATGAATAGAGTAGTGAAATCTGTGAATTATTAAATGTAATAATTGTAAATTAAAAATTTGGAGATCCAAACTCATGGATTAGTTATTTGAATGATTACAACTGTACCTAGTACTACTGCTTAATAAATGAACTATATATTGTGTTAGTCATCCTCCAATCTAGTTGATGTCATTTGTTAAATCTAACGGATCTTCCCATGTGTCAATCGGATTTCCTATGTGGATCGTATTAGGTATCCACCCAAATTCATGTAAGCAAAGCTTGTTTGCAAAATAAGATCTAGGCCGTAAAAATCACATCTTATTGCTGAAAAAAGGCCACAGATTCCCAAAACAAACCCTAAAATCACCCCCAAATGAGACGTGAAATTCCCTTTGCAAATTTCTCTTTGACATGGATTTATTTCAAGCTCATATGATATGAAGGACAAATCGTTGTGTCTACGTGGCGAAATCGTTACAGTTACGACGTCTTGGACGGAGACAAATCCAGGAAGGAGATTTCTGGGGATGTAGCTTCTATGGTCATCTAGCCCCGTGCCACTAACACGTCAAACTAAACCTATCCATTGATTAACAAAGCTACATATACATTAAGTTTGAAATTCTTGTGAGGTGACTTTTTCAGATATTGATCTAGGGCTGGACATGATCAAGTTCGATTCTCTTATAATAGAATTGAATGAAACCCGAATTTTCAAAAATTTAGTAAGTGGAATCGGCAGATCTAAATTTAATTATGGAACAATTCAAGTTCGATTATGTTCGGTTTGGTTTGGCTCCATTAGGTTCTTGGGTTCCTTACAGTAATTAAATTTTTTAATATTTGCAACAACACTACATTAATATAACTAGTAACATGTTTGATTTTAACTCTCATAAAATAGCGTAGTTCAATCATGTGATATTTTTTGCGATATTTTTTGCGCCTTTCTTTGTTGAGTTTTTATAGATTTGACCGTTAAAAAAAAGAAAGATATCAAACTCACAATAATGAAGAGAGGCTCAGCCGAACTTGCAATTAGATTTTTTTAGAATAGCAGAAACGACATTACGGTAGAATAAGAGATTTGAGTAAAATGTAGATCAATTTAATTAAGTTGGGTTTGAGATGAAAATTAGAAATAGGAAAACCATATTTGAGTTTGTACTAAATTAATTGGTTAGCAAATTTATTTAGAGAAAATAAAATAATTTGACCTATTTAGATAAAAAAAAAATTAGAAAAATTCAGTTCTTGATTTAGAATTGAGAAGAAACCCAATTTGTCGATTTTCGATTCAGATACCCATTTCGGTATTTAACTTCGTCTGGTTTGAGTCTGGTTTGATCGACTTGAAAATTTTGTTCAGCCCTACATTGATCTTCATACTACTTTAAACAATAAATAACAGATTTTTACAGCACTTGGAATATCTAACTTATACCCGGTTGAGCCCCATTTTTCTCAAAAAATACATTTTAAAATAGTGTTATGTTGGAGAATGTGTGGTTAAAAAATAAAAAAATATTTTAGATTTACGTGTAATATTATTTTATTGAAAAATGTATAATTGAAATGATATCAAATTATTGTTGAAAAATGTATTTTGAGGAAAAAATGAGGCTCAAACAAGGGCTAATGTACACCAAGTATCTACAACTAGTCTAATTCAATAATTGATACTCGTGTATCTTAGTTTGGCTTTACCCAAAAAAAAGAAAAAAAAAAGAAAAAAAAAAGAAAAAAAAATATATATATATATATATATATATTCTCCTAATTGAATAGTAAAGCAAACTTATACGTGTGTATATATTTATCGTGAATGATTGGCCTATTATTCTAAAAAAAACACATGCACAAATCTCTAAGTGTGCGTTTTGTTCGTTGTTTTCAGTTTTCAATTTTGTAAAACACTCAATAAGCGTTTGATATGATATTTTCGAAAATACACCTTCGAAAAAAAGGTTGAACTTATAACATAAACACATTTTTGACTTTTGGAATGTCTCCATTACTGTCATGTTCTTTCTTTCTGACACACTATTTTGTTTTGGTACATATCCAATAGTGAGTTTATGCTCCAGTCCTTCATCTTTACCGAACTTGTTGAATTCATTTGACGTATATTCATCTTTATCGTTACTGATAGTTTTGATATTATAACCACTTTGCTTTTTGACGTAGCTTTTGAACCTTTTAAAAATCTCAAATACTTGGGATTTCTCATGCAAGAAATATACTCATGTCATTCTAGTGTAGTTATCAATGAAGAGAATCAAGTACCTGTTTTACTCGTATGACGGAGTATGCATCGGACCGCATACATCTGTATGTATCAGCTCCAATAGCTTTTTGGCTATCCAAGATTTTTCGGACGAAAATGGTTGACAGTGTTATTTCCCAAGCAAACATCCTTTACAAATTTCATTAATCTCTTTTATGACTGGTTAGTCTCTCATCATACTCTTTTGCTACAAGATCTTCAAACCGTAGAAGTGAAAATGTCCAAATCTTTTGTGCCATAGTCACGACTCATCCACTTGTATCGTCATTGCCACATTGGTTGTATATTTCTATTGGATTGGAAAGCATTTGTTCTCTTTCTTGTCATAGATCATGCAAGAATTTTCTTTAAAATGTAAACTGTATCCTTTTCTTCATCATCTTTCCTATTAATAGATTTTAATCTATTGTAGGGACTAAGAGAACTTCATTAATGCATCTCTTGCCCTTTTTTATATCAACGGAAATAATGCCTTTGCCTATTGCCTCTATGAAATTTTCATTGCCAATTTTTATTTTTGCCTTATT